CAAAAAAAAAAAAAACCTTCCTCCAGAGATGGCCAGAAGCGACGCAGAGGATGAAGAATTCAATGGATTCAGTGATGTGGAATGAGATTAGTGAATTGAACTGTAACTTGCTTGTCGGACGCGTTATGTTAATTAATCCTGTTCAGGATCCCAGGTACAGGTATGTTCTGGGTTTTATTGTTCTTTCACAATAAATGTCTGTTCTTGCACTTTGTGAAAAATACGTCTAAATAAATGCAACTTGTACTCCAAAGCGAGTTATAATCCGGAAAACACGGTAGTCGTCTTAAAAAAAAAAAAACTTTGTTTGAACCGAAATCGGCAGCATCAAGTATTTAGACAAATCAAGACAAGAGTAGAAGTTCTGTCTGATTGACTGATGTCTTGGGATCCAATACATTCAGCAGGCATGCTCCGACAATCTGCAGACGGTTTGATTTCCGCATCTGCTTACCCTGAAGTGTTGCACGATAAGATGCAGTATGTGAACAAGCTGTGGCACGGTGTGTCCTTCCTCCACAATGATTTTGCGAGTCCAGTGAGTCAACATCTGGTGGCCGTCCTCCATGCGAGCAGGCACAGCGGGGGTGAGGATGGCCATGGCCTGGCGAACGATGGCCCGGGCTTCCATTGTGTGTGCCTTCAACAGGCTGTGAAAGACCTGAACAGAGCAGCCAGAAACTACATCAGTAAGATTTCAAGTTTTATCAGCATGAACCCTGACCCCACATCCTCAGTTCTCATAGTTAGTAGTGAAACTTGACTTGCTCTGACTTTTTGTCTAAATCCTTCTGCATATTTTTTTCTTCCATAAAATACAAATGTAATTTTAACTAACAGAAGAAAAGTAACTCCAGGGACACTTAGTAGAAATTATTCTATACAAACAAAACTTTGAGCTAAGAACATTATGTGTCTGTGTGGCATTTTATGAACGAGTCTCCCTGTTTAATTATTGTGTTCTTTCTTTCCAGAGCTGATTGGTTCACAAGACCTGAAAAAATAAAAGCTCTACACATTCACTCCTGGCTCAGTTCCCATCGTTACAGATGCCAGCCTTGTACCATGTCATTTTGGTTCACTTTCTTTGCTGTGAATTATTAGTTGGGTCTGGGAGTTACTGGTAGTCCTGTTTCCAGTTTGGGGGATGGTAGGTTTAAGGGAGAGCCTGAATCCAGTAGTCAGCTGCATGTTAGGATTTATGTATTCTGATATTTATTTTTTATGGTTCTTTTGTAGGTTTCAGTTTGTTTTACTCACTAGGTTTTTGTTCTCTTTATCTTGTTCTCGAGTTCTGTTACCTGTGTTGTTTATCTGATCAGTCCTTGTCATCAGTTTGCTTTGAATGAACTAGATGAACTAATGAATTAGAGGAACAAAAAAGACTCTTACTGTTAAGGTGTTTAGGTGTGAACTGCCAATCTACATATGTGTGTGTGTCTTATCTCACTCAACCTTATAACCTGAATCTCTCACTCTCTGCTCTTTGAATTGAGAAAGCTCCTCGGATGAGGAGCGAAACGTCTTCTGTTACAAATAAAGTCCAGTTGTTTTTGTATTGAACGCTTTTTGAGTTCATCATGTCCTGGATGACTGAGAATCTTCACCAGCATATCAGTTTGCTTTATTAGTTTGCCTCGGTTTATTTCCAGTTTCTCTGTTCATCCAACATTATCCAAGTCCACATGCCACATCAGGTTCTTCAGTTCCTGTGCCAGACTCTGCTTTTTGTTTTGTATGTTGCTGCCATGTCAGCTGTTTGTTTCCTGTAGAAATAAAGTCTAGCTTGCCTTTAATTAGAACTCCTTGTGTCATAATCCTGAATCCAAAGCTTCCTGTACCGTGATACTATTATTTTCATTCAATTTTAATTTAAAATGTTACAATTGTCTAGACTCCATGTGTCTTGTGAGCCATGTACCATCAAAGACAAGAAGTTAAGGAGAAATAAAATCAAAAATGAACAAAGTGCGTCAGCTGTCAAAATCTAAACTGACCTCGTGCAAATAAAACAATGATTTTTGGATTGCCCACTCCATCTTACAACAACTGTATGACTTATAGAAACTTGGGTTTTATTCCTCCTCACCTGCAGGACAATCTTCTTGTGAATGGCAAACTTGGCAATGATGTGAGCAAGAAGCAAGTGTCCGCTGTATTTACAGGCCGGGTCTACGCAGGCTTTGGGCAACAGGCACGGCCAAGCGAACGTCATGAGGCGACGCAGCTTGCTGTTGCGTGACTTGTTGTTGTCGTGAATGTGGTGGGGCGCGTGCTCCACGAGCAGCGTGGAAAACTGAAGAAGGCAAATTCGCAGCGAGTCTAACAGGTCAGCCTGCTTCTCTGGGTCCAGAACCTTAAGGCGGGATGAAAAAGGCACGGAGTTAAGAAACGATACACTGTGATCACAGTGCATTCGTATTAAACTGATTAATAAACACAGAGTTTTCTGCATTGATAAGTGTTAAAGGTGTAGGACACATGAAATGTTTGGTTTTGCCAAACTAAAAACACCTGTAGCCTAACATACTGCTATAGTACTTTTTACCAGCTAAAAACGTGAATAATTTAAATCAATTATATGCACAAGAAGGAAAAACACATGTCATAAAATGCTCTCTGAATTATTAAAGTTCCCCAAGCAGTCTGCTTCTACACCGTGAAAAACTCCTACTTCTCCAGTAAAATACCAATCACCAAGAGAAGCACCTGCAGAGGAGCCGCAGGAGCGAGGACAGCTTATATAGAGAGGGACGGAGGTTAGGAAGGAAATGAGTTTTAAGCAGACCGTAGAGGAGCCATTAGCAGCCATTAGGACTGCTGTTAGTCAGTGATGAGACCTGCCACAGCACAAACAAACATGCTGACCTTTAGTACAGTCACACACTGACATTTACAAGAATTATTGTCTGGCCTGATGAATGAAATGTGATGTAAACAGAAATCGATCGCTTGATGTTAATAAGGAAGAGCAAAGACACGAAATGCACTGAAAGGAAGAGGGAACAAATAAATTGGAAGCCGTTGTTATCAAATTCAAGGTGAGGGCCATGAGAGAAGATTCTGAATGAATGGGATGGAGCTGAACACATCAGACTTTAGAGAAACGATGGATGAATGAGACATAAGGAAAAAAAAAATTGGCAGATAATAAAATCACAAATGGATGGGCAGAAAGCTGTTAAGTAACAAGAATAAAGTATGAACTGAATGGATATGTGGCATAGGAGCAAATAAAAGGAAAATCAAAATTCTATAAATGTGAATATGTGCTGGTATACCTTGGTGATGAAGACGCTGGTAATGCTCTCAGGATTGTCTCCTTCAGGGTTGGGTGGTCCAAGCAGCTGCTCACCTTCCCCCTTCTCAAAGCTGTACAGGAAGGCAGGGTTCAAGATGTGCTGCAGCACCTACGAGAGAGGAAATAGTTCAAATGCTTTTGTTAATAACACACGCCAAAGCATTTTGCCATTTATTTTTCCAATAAATATCTTTTAACTGTATTTGCCAATATAACAAATATTGCTTCCCTGGAATGCTCACCTTCAAGAAAGAAAAAAAAAATCCATCCCTTAATTAAACTGGTATGCTTCTTATAAAAGCAACAAAGTAAAACTCAAACATTTTCAGCACACTGTGGCAAATAAGCAAAAACTGCAGCTATAAAATCTATTCCAATCCAGTCTTCGTTTTGGGCTGATAAAAGCAGACGGAGCACACTGGCAGACTTTAGGGACAGTAATGTTTCTTCTGCAATACAACAGATCCATGTGCAACTTAAAAACAAACCATAACCCAACTATCATACAGATAACAAATGCATTTATTAAACAAGTTGCTTTCCACTCATCAATGGCCCTATTCAATCCATCACTGGGGGAGAGGACACCACTCATTGAAGAATGATCTGTAGTTGTGTATGTTCCAAAATCCCCATTAGCACATTTTTCACACACGTGGCTATTAGACTAACGTGCATGCAAACTAGAGCCCGATCAATATTTTAGGCTCATATAGATGTTTGGGGACCTATCGGTATCTGTAATATTTGTCTCATTATGCACCAATATAAAAACTTCTAAATTTCACCCCTAAAATGTTGGAAACCAGCCGTAATTGTACAATGTATCCAGCAGACAGGTCATTGCCGTTCACTTAAGTTTCACTTTCATACCCAGCACAGCCGAAGCAGGGAGCAATGCTGTGTAGCGTATTTTGCTGAACGGAGCATGGTAAGTTTATTGTAACGGATCTGTAAAATAAATACAAAAATCAACAATAATAAATTCTCTTCAATCCTCCAACGTGCTTGTCATTAGCTACGTGTCTCTCAAGTTAGCAAGCTAACATTTAGATAACCTAGCATAGGCTATTGTCTTGTAAAACTTTATCCAGAACAATAAATCTAACGTAGAGGTAAAATTTATCAGCGTTACTAGCGTTATCGTTGTTGTCCTCAACGAAATGCATTGTTTGTCTGAAATCTCTGCAAAGAAACAAAAACGTTGATGTGGTCAATACTAATTAGACGGTCAACATATGTGACTGTTTAAACAATGAACAGGGAAGGGTGTTTCTTTGTTTAATTTACATTTTTTTAACACAAATGATAACTTTATGGTGAATAAAGGAGGACAGAAAATGTGAACGCACGTAAGGAAGATTGTTTCAAGACTTCAAGTGTTAAAACAGGTTTAAAAGTAGCTGTTTACTTAGCTTCTTGGGGGTGGACAAAGCTCACAAATTTTCAGCCAGTATATCGGTTATCAGCATTAGACTTCCCATCCCAATTTCGATATCAGGGATAGCCAAAATGTCCATATCAGCTTTAATCTCTCTAATGCAAACACATACCCAGCCAAATAAAGACACAAAAAAGCAACAATCCCCTCTTTGTTATTACGCTGCATCAGTCGTTATGAAGTCTCTGCTCCTCTGATAGAAATCTTAGTATGTGTAACATCAATACGTGAGATCTAACAGTGACTTGTTTCTGCTTTGCAACACAGGACACATTCATGATTGAATTTCCATTTACAACTTGAGCCAAGATTTAAGTTGGGCTTTGCTCGTCTCCACATAGTTTAGAAATGCACAAAATACCGGTACTTGTTATTGTGGGGAAGCAACAGGAAATCACTTTAGAATGACAATCACTACAATTAGCAAACAGCTTGCAGGAATGGTTTACAGTACGGGTGGGATGTAAAATCATTTTTAGATCAATTGCTTTGTGGATGTGGACAATTCTGAATTGATTTTCAAACGTGAGACAAATAACTGTGGTAGCTGTTTCAGTCAAACGGAAACACATCATGCAACACTTAAATGTCACGCTCAGAGTACATGATGCGAATGACTTGGCTACAACCAAAACTTTTAGCAGAATTTTGGGAAAATTTACCAAATATTTGCGTTTTCCAAAGTCATTCTGCTGTGAATGACATCCTGAAAAGAGTTAACTATACAATTTTTTTTTTTTAAATTAAAAAAATAAATCAGTTGCAGTTTGCTCTGACTATCTCTATCACGATTTTTCTAAGTATGATTGAACATGACACCCAACTGGCTGATTGATGGATGAGCTGCACGATCTGCATGGATTTTTTAAATTTAAAATAAATGTATTTTAAATTATTTAGCACCTGCTGCACAGGTCTGTATGCAGCCCACAGCTGCGGGGAAGCTCCCTCCTCATATCTCTGTTCTGCAGTGGAGAAGTGGGCGTGGCCAAAAGCTCTAGCAGGTGGCAGAGAGCAGCGGAAGCAGAGCTGATATTCTGTGCTCTTTTAGAGCACTGAAGAGTCCAGAAAAGGTTTTTCACTTATCATGGCCTGGGCTTCCGGGTACGAATCCCCTGTGATAAACGAGGGATTACTGTACCACGTATTATATGCCTGTCGAAAACATCTGACCTTGATTTGTGACTTTGACCTTGGGGTGATGAAAAACGTATACCACATTCCGTTTAGTGACGCATATGTGTATAAGTTTCATAAAATTTTCTTGAGCGGATCAAAAGTTATGAGCTGGACAAGAGAAAGTTTAAGTACGGATGGAGACTATACCATAATATGTCCTGCCGTCAATGGGCGTATCAAAAGAAGCTAGTAAAAGTAAGATGGGGGAGCTGCTCGGTGTGTTTTGCTCTTGTTATGAAGATGGCAGGTGTGGCATGTTGTGCTGTGACCTACACAGCACAAAGTCAAACTGTGCGTGTGTTCACGTCTTATACAAACATGACAAATTACAACAGAAGTTTAATTCTGAGGCACACGGCCCCATTAAAAATACTAGAGACGACACAAATTTACAATCTTCATTCATCAAGCAGCTGCTTTCCAAAATTGATACAAAACATCTGGTTCTTGCCAGAAAACTAATTACACAAAACTAACGTCGTTGCAAGCATTTATCGGAGGAGACGTGGCGAGTACGAGCAGCCGCGTCAACGATCATTTTCTTCACTGTATTTTCCGTCTTGTCCTCGACTCTCACGCTTAAACCTCCACCGTGGGCTGAGATTCACTGCTACAGACGCCAGGCTCGCTGCCAGCTCACGGCTTTACATGATACAGAATAAAAGCCTAGTGATCAATGAGCGCCACCGTTTCTGAGTCGGTGTTTTTGTCCTCTTGATGTTTACACTGAAACAGCAAGTCCCTCTGTAAATATCTGACTGTGTACCACGGAACCACAAAAGGAATCGGTCCCCCAAAACCAGCTGCCATGCTCATATTTTAACGAGTGCTCCACAAAATAAGAAACAGGGCTGCAAACTCAAACACCGACTGTGAGAATTATGGGCTGCTCACATCAGAAGGAGCAAACTGCTTGAACTCAGTTCACTGTGAGCAGGAGCACTGCAGAGTAATAAAACAAAGATATTTCAAGGCTACAGCAGTCTCTTTATTTCATGCAATAAGTATACAGTTTTCAGGGACATCGATAACTTCTAAGAAGAACAGGAAGTGCTGAAGAACGTCGTGAAGCACTCCGTTTGGTTTTAATCTGTTTATACAGCGGCAGAATGTGAAACAAATGAACTGTGCCCCACATTCTCCGTGTTTATTTTATCTGCTCGCGAACAAGTTAACAGATAGAGAATTAAATTCTTTTTAAAGAAAGCGAGCAACAGAAAAGTTGTTTTCTGTGTGAAGTGTTTGGATGAAGCCAAAAGCACCAGCATGAGGTCAGTTTACTGACATGAGATGATTCACTGTTGCCGTTTCGCTGCACCTCTTCTTGTTCAAAGTGAAACATTTTCCAAAGTCCTTGTGGAACTGTGCAAGAATCTGATTTTTATATCCAACTCCCCAACAAACTGGATGAGCGCACACATTTTCCTGTGATGTTGTGCTTCTGGGAAAATGCTATCGGCAATTATTTAAATGTCAATAGAGGCGACACCCACGCTCATTCTCCTCCTCATGACTCACACACCAATCAACACAAACATATTCTCGCAGAAACGCATCCTCTGTGTCTCTCGGCCCGTGTCACAGTTAGCGCAGCCGCACACAAGCACAGCGCAATTAAGGGCGAAAAGAAAAACAAAGGAGAAAATTCAGCAATGGGGTGGGCCGTGGAGAGCTGCAGTGCTGCTAACGAAAAGAATAAACTCAAGTGGAGGAGAAAAAAAAAGTCTACTTCAGCACTTCTGTCAGGAAATATACAAAATAAAGAGTTGGGCACTCTCTTCTCTTTCGCAACAGTTTTATGGCACATATGCGACTGAAGCAACATGCTGAGCACAAGCTAAAAAGGCAAGTGAAGTAACGTAATTGCCGGTGTACAGTAGCCCCTCGCTACTTTGAGGTTTGTTTTTCACAGACTCGCTCTGTCGCGGTTTTTCAAAGTAAGATTGGACATGACACACAACTGGCTGATTGATGGATGAGCCGCACGATCGGCATGGATTTTTAAATTTGAAATATCTTAAATGATTTAGTGCCTCTGTACAGCCCACAGCTGTGGGAGAATCTTCCTCCTGCAGCTGATCAACTCATCTCCGTGCAGAGCGGCGAAGTGGGCATGGCCGAGAGTGCAGCCGGAGACAGGGAGCTGAAATTATGACATTCTGTGCTCTTTTAGAGCGTTTAGAGTTAAGAAACATTGCTTACAATATTACAAGTGTGGGAAGGGTTAAAACACATACATATATATACATATACATACATACATATACATACATACATACATATATATACATATATATACATATACATACATACATATATATACATATATATACATATATATACATATACATACATACATATATATACATATACATACATACATATATATACATATACATATACATACATACATATACATATATATACATATACATATATATACATATACATACATACATATACATATATATACATATACATACATACAT